ATTGGGTTGCCTACCCCTGGTATAGACAATATTGATCAAACTGATGGCCCAACAGTAGTGTCAGACTATAATCCCCATCACCTCCACCTTAATGGGCAGGGTTGGTGAGAATTCTGTTCCAACATCATCTGGAGTGCCATAGAGATTATCAGCAACCAGCACCCCCCCACACACACAAAACCCCCAAAACAAAACAAAACAAGTTAGCGGCATGACACTTAAAGTTTGTTCTTTCAAAGAGGAGACATAAATCTTGCTTAAATTGTGTTATGCTTTTTAAAAATTATTACTTAGAAAAAAAAGTTTTCTTATCCAAACTTCAAATTTCACATCTGAACCCAAATCTTGGTGCAAGAGCTGCCTAGCCAACCTTAAATTTTAAATTCTATGTTTTTAAAATAAAAATTCCACTACTTAATGTAGATTCAGTAATTTAGCTGATCTCCTTATATAGAAATTAGACTCAAGTCTCTTCATATCTGTATATAGATTAACTGGCTAATGAGTTACACCCTTTGTCTTTGGTGTAAAATGCAGCTGCATTCTGCCTAGCCAGCCTGTGACAGATGGCCCCACAGGGGACTAATTCAAACTTGGATACAAACTGGGTAAGCCAGTACATAGTGCTCAGCATCTCATATTTACTGACAGTCACCTCATTTTCCAAGTTCTAAGTCTCATGTAAGGTGTACTTCCCAGATTATGGAATGGCCTGCCGGATGAGATCCATCATATTACCACCTTAGACAGCTTTAAAAAGGCTGTTAAGATGGATCTCTTCCAACAGGCCTTTCCTGAATAGATATCCTGGCCATCAAAAGACAGCCCAGTTTTCTCCCTGGATTCTGCTGCAGTTACAAATCAGAAATGTCTTTTACTTCCCCTTTCCCCCCTCTTAGGACACTTACGTGATTACACTCCTCAATGCGGTACAACTGCTCTGGGGTGCAACGCTCCAAGACAGGTTCCAGTACAGAGTATGGGACACCCCCCACTTCATAGATTGCTATGAGAGAAAAGGGAAGGGGGAGGAAGAACCCATTGTTAAAAATCATATCTTCAGGTTTTAAACCCACACTTCCAAAATACAGGTTGAGTCTCCCTTATCTGGAATTCTGAAATCCAAAATATTCCAAAGTGCAAAATTCTCCATGGGTAGCTGAAATGGTCACGCCTTTGCTTTCTGGTTCAATGTACACAAATTTTGTTTAATGCACAAATTTAAAAAAAAATGTTGGGTATACAATTACCTTCAGGCTATGTGTATAGTAAACCTGAATTTCATGTTTAAACTTGGGTCCAATCTCCAAGATATCTCATATGCAAATATTCCAAAATCCAAAAAACTCCAAAACACTTTTGGTCCCAAG